CAGTCAACATGAGGTGACAGGTCCGTCGTTCATGTTCGAGCGGTGCCTTTGCAAGACTAGATAAGTCAAAGGCAAAGGCTGAAATCGACCACATGGAGGGTCACTAAGGGTCACCCTCTATGTGGTCGACTTGCGTTGCCTCGAGTCGAAGGTTGGAGGCCCTCAAGACACGAGCATGTGTAGTGTCCAAGAAGCGCGCCGCGTCACGCGGCGCGCGCGCGCAAGTTGGAGAGCGTCCCACAGCTGTGTCCCTCATGGTCTCCGTGTGTCCCTCATCGTGGAAATTCGGAAATGGGTCTTATCACCGTACGTAGAGGGCGGTGCCATCCACGGAAGCCGTGATGATTTTCAGGGAAAGTAATTATGATGTTCTGATGATTTTATTGAAGGGGTCATGGTGGGTCAAGGGGATTGCCCCTGGAAACACCCACCGCAAAGTGGAAGGGAGAGGAGAGTTGGAGTCTGCTGGAAGTCCAGGGCTTCCGCTTTCACAGAAGAACATTTGAAATCAGTTGAATCTTACTTCGTAAGACTGCCAAGGTTCATAGGCCCTGAAAACCATGTTTCGCAATCAACAATCCCATACATGTTTGTGACTTGTTGGGACCAATATGGGCAAATGAATATCCAGCAAGCTTGAGTTGGCTTCCAAAGAGTTGTTTTCTTCTTTCAACATGCTGCAGCTTGACTTCGCACTGCTCATGCAGTAGGGTATGGGCCACCATCCCCCTGGCCTCATTCTTTTCGGCCAGTTTGGACTGGACCACAGATGAGCAAACGAAGGAACCGTTGCAGCAGAGCTCGTTACAGTGCTCTCAGAGTAGAGAACACACAAACCCAAAGAGGTCTTTAGAAAAAGGGGGTCCAAATAAACCACCTTTTGATACCTTTTAGGGTTTGCGCCATCTCTCAATCCGCTATACATCACTATACTATACTGGTTCAAGCTTGATTTGACTATATAAACTGTTGACTTCACCCATCAATTGAAGGTGCGACAGCTTCCGGCACCTCTCGCTCGCTCAGGAACGGGGAGCTTTGCTGCTCCCCACGTTTGGGTGCCTATGAGAACAGCAAGTTGTGGCCACAGGGCCCTCCCTTCGCCCAGATGTGTAACGTCACGAGCCTTCGGCCCGTGATGTGGCGGTGTGGAGAGGTTGGGTGTGGCGTGAGTCACTTGGGCCGAGGCTTAGGAGGTGTTCGGTGGTGGAAAAGGGGGCCACACAGATGGTGAGGAGAGGGTTCTGCCGGGTTCTGCTCTCTATGGAGTCATCGCACGGATGCTTCATCTTGGAGTGTAGGTGAAGATCGGACATTCGTCTTCCCAATCAATTTGCATGGTGGATGTTTAGCCGCTTAGCCCTTTGTGGCTTGGTCCTTGGATAAGCCTTGGATGGTTTGTTTCGCAGTGTTAACAAAGGAATAGTTCCTCTTAAGGAATCGCTTCCTGCTCCCTGGCGTCAAGAGACTCGGTCTCGGTCTCCAAGCCGACATGACACGACATCGAGTCTCGATGACGATGGAAAGCTCCCATCTGTTTGCCAAGGGGTGATGAGGGGGTGACTCGGTGACTCGAAGTGCCACCACCGCCAGACAATCTAACAACATTCATGACATTTCATGACTATTAAGGTTGAAAAGCATATGAGTTGTTCCATGTTGTTCCCATCTTCTATGTGCTACGAATTCCTGTGAATGCCCCGTGAAAGCTGAGGAATTGGCCGACCTCTCCCTTGGATAAAGCCACCTACATCGCCAAGTATCAGAAGGTTTGCCCTGATCCTCGCCTTCCAAACGAGCAGGGTTGTTTTTTTTCAAACACTCCAGGTCAGGCGTGGGCTTCTTCTTCAGCGCTACGAGAGCAATCTCCAAAGCCGAAGCAGTTCAAAGCTAGATTTATAAGCCTCTGAATCCGTTAAAGGTTAAGGGGTGTCCATTAACCACCCCACAGATAGATCAATCTGAAAATATTTGATCTGAAAGGTGCCGGACTTCTGTCGTTTTGGCCGCACGAGCCATGACACGGATCTGATACGGTCAGCTGCCGAGGATGCCAAGACGTGGCATTTCCAGGAGGATGCAGTGAAGAGCTGCAGCTCGGCGGGCTGGTGGTCTTCGACCGTCTTCGACCCGGACCCGTTTCGCTCGGCGTTGAATGATCCACATTGCCACGTGTCCTAGAGTCGTGCTTTCGTCCACCAGTTGTCCTCAAGAAGCTGGGAAACCAACGCGTCCCACCGAGCATGGTTGGGAAACCAAAGCGTGCTTGTGTGTCAACATAGAGACCATGAACAGGGTAGAAACCTAAATGACAGCTGGTTTGCCACCAGTATGGCAGGTTAGAGCAAAATACAAGATACATGTGTTATGTTGTTTGAACGCAAGCAAGATACCTACCCAAGGCCATCGGGGAAGCAAACAAAAACAGAAAAAACACGTTCTTGTCTTTCGTGCGTCAAATAAGCAGAGTGTCAGGCTGCAGTTTTAGCATCTTAGACCCAGCTTCTCCACCGAACTTGTTGGTCTTTTAAGATCATAAAGATTTGGATAAAGATAGGATAAAGACAATCCGGGATAGAGCAACAAGTTCTCTATACGACTCACTGAATCTTTATGTCATAAGGTTTGGATAAAGATTTGGAGTTTTTTTTCCAGACTTGATCCACGTGGACCGGACCTGTATTGGATGCGCAATACATTCCTGGAAACCCAGTCCCAACCAGAAACAGTTCTGGTTGGTCCAATATGGCAATTGAGAGCATTTATATAGGAAGTGGTTGTTTGTGTGTCTCACCCATTTGTTTCTGGGTTCTTTGGATTTCCAGATGCCTTTACCTGTATGATGTTAATTCCAAATGCATCTTGCAGAATTCACTGAGATCCGGCGACCCCATTGCAGAATATTAGGAATATTGCAGACGTTCACTCGCCTTTGATTGACTGGTTGTTCTGGTTTTCATGCACCTCTGGTGTCCTCTGGACCAGAGATATGGAGGACACGTGCCTGTTTTTTTGCCAGGCCAAGAAATCTGTGCTTCTCGCGCATGTTTGACCGGTTGTCAATGTTTGACTGTTTTTTGACCATGATAGACCTTTAGACAAGAAGATGTGTAAGCCCCGAGAAGGAGCATAAGGACGAGAAAGGCCAACCATGTCATGCCATATCCAAAAAATTGAAAGACAATTTGGGAATTCCTATTTGATCCCTTTTGAGCTGAATAGCTTTGATTTTGTGAACCAAGCTGGCAGGGTGCCTTGGGTGCTTGTCTTCCCCGCTCAGTTAAACATCACAATTATTAGCAACAGTCTTCCCTTAGTGCCACCTTCCTGTCGGCGTTGACGAAACAATGCTACTCTCCGAGCCGCAGCATCTCAGGCAAGGCCGAGCTCAAGTCAGACTACACGGTGACCTTTTGCGGGTGAGCGGCCGAAACGACTCTCCAAAACCCATGGAGACTCGTTTCACGTCGCCCTGCCAGACGCTTTTGTGGAGACCGTTTCCGAGGACGCCTTTTTTCTCAACTATGTCTCTTTGGTGTTGGACAATGTTGCTCGAATGACACAACCACAAGTTTAGGTTTGTGATGTTTCTCATCAAGTTTTGGTTTGGCTCCAACACGTCCTCGGTATGTGTCCTTAATTCACCTGCTATTTCGACTCATGGTTCCTAGGTGTATGCCGCGGAATCTCACGAGTGTTCCAAGAGTGAAACACCTCCAGGTGACGAACCTGTGCGCAGACCAGGTTGGCCTGACAAGTGGGCTGCACGACATGTTCTAAAGGCAGGATCTAGCATTTCCCACAACATTACTTCTTTCTTGCCTTTCATGGTTGCTTGGCGTGCCGGACATGGAGCACTTTCTAGATCACTTTTGTGGTCAGTTTGTACTCAGTAATTGTGTCTCTGTGAAAGAAGACCTCCGAAAGCACATTTTGAGGTACAGGACCTTGGGATTTTCAGCGGTCCTAGTTCGCAAGCTGAATGCAGTCAAAATTGAGCCTTGGTGGATCCTGTGCTCCCAAAATCAGAGCCTCGAACTTGGTGGTCGCGCCAAATCTCTGCACGACAAGTGACTAATTAGATGTCCGCAAGCTGCACAACTGCTGCCCATCGTGGGCATGGCTCTTGTGGGCACCGTTTGATTTTCCAAGGCCTCCAGGGCAGTTGGGGAAGAGTGTTGAGAATTGGAAGGTCATGGAAAATCAATTAAATTTAGCTATCACGAGTTGCAACTAAAATAATATGGTGATAATATGGTGTTGAGAGCATTGTTTAGAGCTTTGAACACACTCAACCCTAACCCCTAACAGCCCCTCTAAACCACTTGGGTTAGCATTGGCTTCGCTACGACTTGCCAACTTTTCCATGCAGGCAGGCGTGCGAGCACTTCCGAAATCCGTCCTGACACAAGGGGTGTAGGATGATGGATAGCAATGCCGAAGAGGATTCAGAAGAAACCAGGTAGGCTCCGCGTATGTCCAACGACTGTCGGATTGATCCACCCAACCAGGGTGTGGAAGGAGACTTGATTGGCTCATTGGAGACAGACGTGTTTTGCAGACCCTTTTAAGACGTTTGCATCTTGGGGACATGGGCAGGCTGAGAAGAACAGCAACCTTCAGGGAGACTTTTCGGTTTGAATGGCAATGGAGAGGGGAACCTATGCTGGATCCCAGAGCCTGATGTGTATAGCAGTATACAAGTACAAAAGCAGCTGTATGACACTTACCATCACCTTCCGATGTCCTTTCCAGCACTCCCATAAGGAAACTCCAAATGTAACAAACGTTTCTTACTCGTTAACTTTGGCAGATTAGCTTCAAGGGATAACTTGTCCCAATCTCTTCATCACTTGCATACTAGGCCTCAATACACCTACCTAATCCTACCTACAGTACCAGACCTCATCGCCCTGGCCCATTGTCCCGGTGTTCCGGATTGGTACCAAAACACTCATCCCACACCCGCCCCACCGGAGCCCCGCCGCCCCCGTCTTAAGGAACGCTTTGGAGGAGCTCTTGGGCCCCATGCGACAAGTCATGGGTGGTCCGAAGTTCATCGCCACTCTGCAACAGGCGGGGCCGTCGTCATGTGTGGTGGACACCCACACCCCCGGGCCGCGCGTGAGACGGATGGATGAGACCGGATGCAGGTTTGTTCATCGGAGTGAACGACTGGTTGGGGAAGGACCAGTACGAAACAGTTTCTGTCGAAAAATGTCCCAGATTCTGTCTCACCAGTTTCTGTCTCACCGAGGTCATGGAGAAGCTCCCAGACAAGTATACCCTGAGGCGGGCATGGGCCACACATGTTTGAGAGATAATGAGAGGATTCTGGGATCACACACCCTGGTCGAGGCGCGTCTCCAACGAGGGCCGAGGGCGAGTGTTCCATAGTCATGATGTGTTATATTGTTTCATGCTTTAAGGTGTCCATGATATCCCTGTATTTCTTTGGAATGTTATGGGGTTGGGTTCCACTTGCTCATTGAGCACAACTTGTGCAGTGCCGGCCCACCATGTTCCACTTGCGCCATAATATTGAGCCGTGCCTTTTGATGGGCACAGGTGCGGTTTCTTGTTTGTTTCGATGTGCATGGTCAGATGTGCGTGTTTTGCACCGCAAAGTAGATATTCTTGCTTGCATATGCTTGCATAAGGTAGGCCCAGGGTTTGGGGCCTACCAACATGGGGAGGCCATCCTGTACCTCAAGTATCCTCAAGTAAGTCCTGTGTGTTTTTCCTCCAAACAAGACACCCATGGGACCCACAAGACACCCTCGACTCCGCCAGTTTCCGCTCCTGACAGCTGCTGACATCAGACGACCTCCGTCTCCCGGTGCCGTGACGGCTCAGGCGTCGTTCTGGCCGTGGGAACTCGGGATCCGTTGGAGCGATCAGCTCCACCGGTGACGTGGCGAAATGGCTTACTTGGATGTCAACGAAGCCTATACGATGGAAGTCCGTGTCAGGGCCTTAAGTGGTCAGAGCTTTCAATTCCACATCGACCAGTTCGCCATCATCGGTGATGTGAAGCAGCGCTTGAGCAATGGGCTTGCTCGGAAGTTTCATGAGATGAAGCTCCTGTACAATTCAGAAGAGCCAGGTGTCTTCGAGAAGGTCGGCAAATTCCGCAACAGGTCAGGGATTGTGGAGCTCACCTTGGTGATCAACCGCACTTGTCGCTGGTGCAACTTGCAGATCAATGACAACATCGTGGCACCACTGCTGGGTACCTCCACCGGTGATTTTTGTGGCACTCACTGCTATTATAGCATGCAGCGCGAGTTGCAGGATCCCAATAATATCTTCAAGGTCTTCGGCATGAGCTTCGAACAGCCAAGACATGACCTGAGGCCCACTGGGCCTAGCAGCCTGAGGCCCCTCTAAGAGCCGTGTAACTCTCCACGGCCATGGTGACCCCGGGCGAGATCGATTTCTCTTTGAGGCGAAGCCCAGGACATGGGAAGATCAATGTGTTACACTGACGAACTATACACAATGTGTATATATCACATGTATTTACATATTTGCATTGTAACGTGTTTTGAAATATCATTGAAAAGGTTGGAAGTGGCTAGGAACTTCTCTCCGCTCTCAGTACTCATTGATACTCATTGAATCATTGAAGATTATATAGGAATTCTCTTCTATTGGCCTAGTGACATGTTATGAACATTCTTTATATATAGATGTGTTCCGTCACCAAGAAGAATATAATGATGATTATTTGATTCCTCCCAAACATTCCACAGGATGGAGTCAATATTCAGTACTATGACTATGACAGTGACTATGAGTTATAATGTTATTTCTATCATCATTCAATTCTTGTCATGTCATGTAATTCAATTGTTAATGACTTTCAATTCTTCATCCGGTCGCCGTTTGACGAAGCGACACAGCGATCGCGATCGTCGAATCCAGGACCCGTGTCGTCGGAGTTTCGAGAAATTCACTGTAGGGCTTCTGGCTCGGCTCAGTTCCGAGCCGAACAGAAGCGAGTTTCGAGGGCAGATCAGTTCTTTTTTCTGGAAGAGAATTCTGAATAGATGGTGAACAGAGTCTAAGGTGTTGGAAGATATTTAATCATGAGTGACTCGTGTGTGTTGGAGTTTGTCCAGATGCTTTAAGGGGCCAAAGGTTGAAGGCCTATAAGAGAAACCCTATGACTTCCCTCATTTGCATCCTCTCAGACACAAGAACTGAGTGCACCAGAGTTTCCGAAGGCGGAGTCGTCCAAAAATAGCCCTGCCTTGTGTCACTTGAGAAACTCGGGAAACCTAAAGGATACTTAGCAGAAACAGATCATTTTGACCCAGCCATGGTCAGCCATGTGCTCCCACAACTGCTTTGTTTTTTGAGTTTTACATGCACCTGGCGCATCTACCTGCCCCTGATGAAAGTACAAAGGGGTCTTGAACTGAACATCGTTGGCATCGCAGGCTCAGGACTCTTGACTCTGCAATTCCTACCTGCCATGTTCCCCTAGTTTCTGAATTCAACATCCTGAAGACATGCAACGACATGAAACGACAAAACGAAACCAAAACCCTTCCAGTCTCGTTTTCGTTTGGCCCCACACCGTCGCTTCAGGGATTTGCGCCTCTCCCGGAACCTGGCGCTCGGGCTCCCGGTGACGAGTGGAAGATGCACCGCACGGATGAACCCACCAGTGTTGCGTGTTGCGTGTTGCCACCCCGTATGAGGGACATCGCCTTACGCATTTCCTCAGATGGACCTGACACTGTGTCAAAAAGCGTAAAGGTCCGATGCGAAAAAATGGGAGGTTCGGACACCAAATGAGACCAAGTACCACCGCGGAAAAGCACAGCCCTTGGGCGTCGAGTGGGATGCCAATGATGCTAACAAGTTCTCGGTCTGGTCTTTCAGCTCCCAATCTGGCAGGCGGACCCTTTTTGATGGGACGAGATTGGAGATCAGCATTGATCCTGCATTCAATGAATGTGGATAAATTGGCCTTGCCAAGCCTTCTCCCAAAACACCCCAACCACTTTTGGACCCGGCGCTTGCGGGCTTAGGTGAAGGTCTCAGGATCAGACGAGTCAGCTTCACATGACCCAATGTTGACATTTGCCGGCTCAGTCATTGGTAGTTGTAGGAGGTTGGATGGGCTGTAGAACAAGCCAGGGTGATCCAAGGGGTTTCCTTTATTTTCTTGACCCTGCTTGCACAAGGTTCAGCTCCAGGGTACATGGCCCAAAATTCGAGATAGAATGTTCTGTTGACGACGTTTCTAGAGCAGAATACAAATGGAATCACCAAGAAGGCCGGCCATGAGGATGAACGTCAAATTGGCCACTTTTGCGTGATCCAGCATGCCAATCAGGTGGCTTTGCTGACGTGAAACCTGGCTCAAACCCGGAACAGCCACCCTGGGCAGCGCGGCTGGTCGCTGATTCGCTGATAGCTTTGGGCTTTTCATGGCATCCAATAAGCGCATGTATACGTTGGCAAGGAAGAGCTACGTACTGGTGGTGTTCTAAAAAGACAAAGGAAGATTACCATATGGTTGTGACACATGTCATCTTCAAGGTCTTTCCATAGCCAGGTGGTGTGCAGAAGCTTCACTGCGGGCTTGAGTTCCGCACATGGCAGCCAAATTTGGCAAACTCGTCAAGATCCTGTTTGACACCAGACATTTGATCGATGAAACACATAATTAAACATGTTTTGAGACAAGCCCATCCCACATCCATGAACACTAGCCCAACAAAAACCTTTGCAGGTAAGCTCCAACTCACTTCGCCTGCCATGGGTGCTCAACGCCGCCCGTCGGACAGGTACCTGGTCTGTCAGTTTCTTATGTTGATCGATTCTGGTGAAGCTCAACAATACAAGTGTCCAAGTTGTCTAGTTGTCAAAGTATTTACCATTTCGGACTGTTGCCATTGGTGGAGGCTGGTGCTCTGCAGTTGGTTGAACATCAGCAATTTCGGGGTCTATGTTCTGGACGATAGAAGACCTCCAGATTTCACCAAAATCACCAGAGCCAACGCTTCAATCAGTGCTACCCTCTTTTTCTCACAGTCGACTGCCTCACGCCCAGGCAGGGCCCTCCGGGCCCTCGCCGGCTGGGCCGCTCTCCACGGGGGCCGCGTTCCGCCGCTCCAAAGGCGGCTGGAGCAGTGTGGACGCAGTGAACGCGTTCTCTCGGTTTCCACCGTCGGCTAAGAGCGGCCGTTCGCCCAAGTTGACTGAAGTATAAACCGGAAAACAACACCATATCGGAGTAGTTTCCAATGATGCCACATGAGAGAAAAACGGAAGGAGGCTTTGCGGATAGGTTGGTAGCTCCTTATGACTTTCCTTACCGAGGTACGAGTGCAGCAGTATAGATTCCTGTTCCCAGTCTTTGATATACAAGTGGCTCCCACTTGGTAGCCTTGACAGCTTGGATCACAGAAGCCAGAGCATTCAATAGAATTGAAAGTTTCGGAAGGGGTGACAACCCGGCATCTCAAAGTACTACCGGGCGATGTTGCGCGCACGAGCCCCACTCTCCACTAAGTGGGGCACTTGAAAATGAGACGAATGAGTTGTTTGGCGAAAGGAAATCTGCAGACTCCCTGTGACAAATGAATCGAAAGCCACCGGGTGATTGTGGGGGGCCGTGAATGGGGTCCTTCCAAGGAATGACTCCCTTCCCGTTCTGTGTGACTTCTCAGGCCACAAAGGAACCAGCAGAGGTGCCCATGAAGGACCTGTACTGTAGCTGAGGCTGTGGATCCAATGTGTTCATTGATTTCTCTACATGAACCCAAAAACCAGACATGGTGTTTGAACTCACCTGCAGACCGTTTGCATGGCATACAGACCTTCCTACAGACCGTCACAGTGGGCTGGATTCGCCCACCTCGTTGAGTCGCCGTTCCCGGCGCGTTGGACGGGACCCGGCGTGCCAAGTCGTTCTGCTCGGGAGCTGGATGACTCGACGCCGGCGTTTCAAATCCTGCTTGGGCTTTTTTTCCTGATTCCCCAGATGAGCTGGCTTCACATCGAACTATATAGTTCCCTTATGTTCCCTTTATAGGGCTTCAAACACCTCCTCAAAGGATACTTGGACCCTTTAAGCCCATGCAAACGAAACACCTTCTCAGACGGCAGAAAGCTTGTTGGTGTCAATTCAACTCAAAATCGACCAACCAATGGGGCCTCAACCCCGTGGGTCACGTGTGTCCGAAGCTGTCCGTGCTACGGGTTTCCGCCACCTCGAGGAGCTGGAGGATGCGCTGCGGCTCCGGGAGCGCCTGGCGATGATGGACGCCGACTTGCGACAACAGTGGCTTGGGGGGTGACGTGAAACGAGACACCAAAAGAAGCGCGACGTGAGACAGCATGGTGTGTTTGTGTCTCAGAGGCTTTCCACTGTAAGGTTTGGCTGGTCATATCCATTCTGTAGGATTTTCTATGGTGTCTAGTGGATGATGTGAATCTGTTTGGAGAGTGTTCCAGTGTTCCCCCAAGTCCATTGGGTGGCCTTATCACTGGCCTCATCACTCATCATCACCGCTTCGATTGCTGCAGATCCTCCACCAGAAAAATAACTCACCGGATTGCCTTGGCAGACCCCTCCGGACTCTCAAAGGTTGCATAGTTCGCACAGTAATGCATAACTACTATGCAGTAAGGACTTAGAGTAAGGAGGTTTCAGACCAGTCCAACTATGCAGTTACGGTTTCAGAGCTTCGAGAACGCACGGACCTGGGCCCCCCAAGTTCGGTCACCCGATGAAGGACATCGAACGGGGCACTGGGGGGGGTGCCATCGAACCGAAACCACCAGATGGTGAGGTTCAAGTGCCATGAGGAGTTCCTCGTCCGATCGAAGGAGGTCGCCCAAGTCTTGAAGGAGAATGGAGGATTTGAATGTCAGAGTGTCTATATTCGTAGCAAATAGCTACTAGTGGCGTCCTTGTTCCTAGTAGCGATGGCCTCCACATAGTAGCGTCCCAGGTGTGACGTGTAGTCGGTGTGAACTCTCAGTCGCCTGGTGGTTTGGTGGCGTTCGTTTGTAAAGATGGGGGGTGGTGGGGGGAATTGGTAGGGATGAGGTTTGTTTGGATTTCAATGGTTCTCACAAGCTTTCCTTGGTCGTTGGGAATCTCTCGAGAGTTGCATGTGGTTGGGCTTTTGAAGCAGGTCACGCGTTTTTTCTGTGTTTTGCCGTCGTTCTTCATTTCCCGGACCATGAGTCCATTATTGTTTTGGTTTGTGTTGTCGTTGGTTTACATCCTGTTTCTTCGTCTCAGTCGGTTTGGTCACGTGGATGATATTCCCCCCCAAATTAAAAACATTGGTTTCTGGTGGACATGTTGTACGTGGATGCTCTTGTTGATGTGTTTTCTTGGGCTTCTTGCGGTGACTCTG